AAATTACTCCCAATTTTTACTACATTTTTTTATGCATATGTCCTTATGCTCTGTAAACAATTTGAGCTTAATTTGACTCAAACTTTTTGAGTTATGGCCATTTAAAAATGAACCAAAATGTACATAAAATTCTTACCAGTAGGAGGAGGTTGTAGGTAAGAAGGTGGTCCATCTCTTCCTTGTAGTGTCCTTACAGTAGAAGCAGCTGCTGGAGTACATTCAGTGGTAGGAGTAGCATAAGTAGGATCAGTAGGTTGTAACTAATGAAAGAAACACAACAGCATATAATGACTGGGATCAGTCTACAGTAGTTATATGATGAATGGGATCATTTCAGTGTACAGTAGTTATAATTATAATGAATGATGGGGTCAGTACTTATGGATATTCTTTACCTTTACCTCATTTCCATTGCCGTTTGCTGTATGACTATTAAGAGAAGACTAATTAATAATTATTATATATTTAACTTAACATTTCTTTGTTCTTTATTTCTATAGAACTGAAGTTAATCTATTATTAATTACGTTAATACGCTTACTGTGTCTTTTAGTATACATCATTATTATTACTAATACAATAATAATTATTATTATTGTAATTACAACTGCTACAATAGCTCCTGGTATTATAGGTACAGCATTAGAACCAGCAGCAGTAGTTGATACAGTTGTTGATGGTGAAACTAGTGTACTCATAGCAGTGGTATCAGTTGATGTACCAGTAGCTGAAATATAAGAAGATGATTGTTCATTAATAGTTGAAGATACTGTAACTATTATCATATTAATTTAATCAATGGTAAACATTAGCTTTTACTTACTTAAAGTAGATGATGTAATTATTACTGATGTACTGGTACTTATATTAGTAGTTAATGTAACTGATAATATACAATATTATGTATGTTTTAGTAAATAATGTATTAATTATACAGACCTGATGATGATACAGTAGTAGTAGGACTCATTATAATTGAAGTAGCTGATGGTCCTTGCCCAATGACATTAACAGGAATGATAGTAACAGTGTAGTTTGTATCAGTAAGAGGTAGTCCAGCAATGGTAATATTAGTATCATTAGTATTGCTATTGTATTACCAAGCGCTAGCGCTTGGTATGTAGGGTTGAGTTGGACGAGCGCACCCCCAAAATGGCTGCCATCCCAGAAGCATTGAGCCAGTGTAAATCTTCAGGAATTCTTTATGGCTTATCTGACAGTCAGGATATCCTTTATAATTTTATTAGAACAGGTTAGTGTCATAAAAAGTAGTTAAAAACTTTCATAAGATAGTTATACGGCAAATGAATGCATGCATGCCTGCATGCACCAAATGTTCAGCTTTCTCCTTCTTCTTCCACAGTTAAGTAAGAACTAGTCCTACAGTTTTTATCCTAGAAATATGATTTTTGCACCATTGTATTGCACTTTAGGGACGCTAGTGCAGTGTGGCTTGGCATTGTAATTCTACAAAAGTGATTTTGTCGTCATTTTCAAGCACATATTGAC